CCTGCAGCTGAAGGCGCTTTCCCGTGAAGTAAATAGCTCTTCCAATACAAAGTGCTCTCTCTCTTTTTCCTACTTCCCTCTACTTCTGAGGTGCCCTGAAATATTCTATTACAATAACAAAGCAGGTGGATTTGCTGAAGCCATAGCAAACAAGGAGCAGAAAGTGGTCTGGAGAGGGAGGAGGATTGGGAAACACAAGGATTTTGACCTAGCCAATTTTTAACTCAATTCCCACCCAAGTCTTCTCCCTATTATAGCCCATGTCTTGTATAGTATTTGTACATGCAGTTCCTATCAATTGTATGGATTTGTATGAATTTTTCCTTCCTTTTTCACCAGAAGAAAAACTGCTCAAATCTACCACATTGAATTTGTGTGACTGCAATTTATATTATATAATGTGAGATTCTAAGTGAGCATATGGAAACCTTTTTATTTTTTTTTAAAAAACAACCTCATGAGGAAAACTTGCAAAAAGATCTGAACAAGTTAAGAGTAGTGTCCATTAGATATTTTGGATAATATCTGTAAGTAATGACATTTCCGTTTCCAGTTCTTACTTATATGGCACATTATTTAAGCCTAGATTTTTAGTCCTAGATATAGTATATAGTTTAATCAAAAAATGTTGATGTTTTCTGTGGGTCCCAAATATAGATGAGATGCCCTGAAAAGTTTCGCATTTTTACTGGACAGCACAAATTTAGCTCCATATCTTAGATTAGGTGACAAGGGGGAAGTATCCACTCATTTCTTACAGGTTTTAAAATATATTCAATATAATTCTATTTAACTCTTCACAGGAATCACAGGAATCGAGAATACTTCCAATGAACTTTCAGATTTCACTTGCTTCAGTTTGGGTTCCAGATGGAGGATAACATGGGAATAAATTACACAGAAGTAACAAAATTCATCATTGCTGGGTTCCCAGGTAACAAGAAGATTCAGATTTTGTATTTCATCATCTTCCTCCTCATTTATCTACTGACTCTTTTGGGAAACATCACCCTGCTATTCACACTAAAGGCAGAGACAAGCCTCCACACACCTATGTACTTCTTCTTGAGCAACCTTGCTGTCCTAGAGATTGGATACACCTCAGTTACTCTCCCTAAACTCCTGGCAATCTCTATTGGAAGAGCAAGAAATATCTCTCTTACAGCATGCCTAACTCAGTCCTATTTCTTTTTCTTCCTGGGTTCCACAGAGTGTTTCTTTCTGGCAGTCATGGCTTATGACCGTTATCTGGCCATCTGCAATCCACTGAGATACCCAATACTCATGTGCAACAGAATGTGTGTCTTCTTAGCCATTGGTTCATGGTTTACTGGATTTTTAAATCCTTGCCCATCCACCATCCTGGTTAGCAGGTTGTATTTCTGCGGCAATGTTATCAACCACTTCTTCTGCGATGTCCCACCACTGCTCAGTCTCTCTTGCAGCAACACTCACATCAGCAGAACCATCATCTTCATCAGCTCATCTGTCATAGTGTTAGGTACTTTTGCATTGACTATGCTTTCTTATGCTTGCATTCTGGCCACCCTCCTAAGGATGTCCTCAGCTACGGGTCGACAGAAGGCATTCTCCACCTGCTCCGCCCACTTGACTGTGGTCTCACTCTACTATGGAACAGTGATCTTCATGTATGTCAATCCTGCAGCCAAGACATCAATGGAAATGAACAAGGTGGTGTCGTTTATCTACAGTGTGGTAACCCCCATGCTCAACCCCATCATTTACAGCTTGAGAAATGAAGATGTCAAAAAGGCTTTGAAAAGAATGATGTTAAAGAAATTTTGTGCAGAAAGGCAGACTGCTTAGAAAAAAAATTACTGCATGTCTGTGGGGTTTTATATTTTATATTTATGGACTGGACAGTTACACACAACTCCACCAATTTATTTTTGTCCACTCAGCCAACAAAAAAGGCTATCATGATACTGCATATTTTGAGAGTCCATTCTGGAAAGACTCATGTGAACTTTGAGTTAATGGCTTTTGAAAGTGAAGCAAGACTTTTATTATGTTGTCTATGTTAATGATGATGATTAAATACTGCTGGCAATAGCCAAGTGATTTTGTTTCTGGACAAGGTATGGACAAGGTATGTATAGAGGGATTTAGTTTACATTTTAATGGTTTGACTGTAGTTGTAACTATATGTTAACTATTTCATTCAGGCAATTCACATTGAACTCCCAGGCCACTTCGTACTGAAGGACTGGATATACAATGCCGTGCTTAGAAGGATAACAGAAGGTATTGTCTCAGAAGCCACTCAACACTTCAATGGAAAAAGAACACTCAAAAGAAATTATGAATGTTTCACAACAAAGGTGATGGTAATACGTTTTGATGGCTATGGATATCCCATCTCAATGTGCCTTTAATGGCTCTGGCCCAGTAGCCATCAGATGTGGAAGAGATTACCTCTACCCTACTAGTGGGAAGACAGGTATATAGGAGAAGAAAGCATAGAATGTGAGACTGGAAATGGAAAGACACAGATAGTGAAGATGACAAACATTCCTGAGGAGAGAACTGAAGCACCTCACTGGTGAGACTCTCTCTGTGAGAATTAATGAACATAAGAGAAGCCAATGCTGGATCAGGCCAATGGCCCATCTCGTCCAACACTCTATCACACAGTGGCCAAAAATACCAGGTGCCATCAGGAGGTCCAGCAGTGGGGCCAGGACACTAGAAGCCCTCCCACTGTTGCCCCCCTCCCAAGCACCAAGAATACAGAGCATCACTTGCCCCAGCCTGAGAGTTCCTATCTATACCTTGTGGCTAATACCCACTGATGGACTTCTGCTCTGTATGCTTATCTAATACCCTCTTGAAGCTCTCCATGCTTGTAGCCACCACCACCTCCTGTGGCAGTGAATTCCATGTGTTAATCACTCTTTGGGTGAAGAAGTGCTTCCTTTTATCTATTCTAGCACAACTGCTCAGCAATTTCATTGAGTGCCCACGAGTTCTTGTATTGTGAGAAAGGGAGTAAAGTACTTCTTTCTCAACTTGCTCTATCCCATGCATAATCTTATAAACCTTGACCATGTTATAAACACTCAGCCATGAAGTAGCAAATCTCTAGCAGTGCCTCTGTCCCTCCATTCTACCTGTATATCCGAATAAACCAAATACTACAAAAACACTATAAGACACCAGTTATTTGTCTTTCCAAGGAGACCAGCCTGGATAACAGTTAGCCACTGGAAGTTCTCACTGCTAGGAGAAGTGGGGTGAGTTTAACAGTATCCGAATTACCTTCAAATAGATGTTATCGGATAAACAAAAAAAATGTAATGAAAAAAGCCTATTGGGAATTTGTTCTCCAATAACCATAGAATTTAGGAATGGTGACATGAATTACCCAGGAGCCAGAAGGGTAACTTATTGTTGGTATCTATTATTTTAGTTGCCATCTGTGTTACCTTATACCTTATAATCATACATACTGCTTTACTCATACAGTTTCCTTAGGCAGTTTTTTTGTTTTCATTGTTCCTTGCATTATAAGAACAGAAGAACATAAGAGATGCCATTATTGTCTCAGAAGCCACTCAACACTTCAGTGGAAAAAGAAAAAAGAAATTACGAATGTTTCACAACAAAGGTGATGGTAACACTTTTTGATGGCTATGGATATCCCATCTCAACATGCCTTTAATGGCTCTGGCCCAGTAGCCATAAGATGTGGAAGAGATGACCTCTACCCTACTAGTGGGAAGAAAGCATAGAATGTGAGACTGGAGAAGAAAGCATAGAATGTGAGACTGGAAATGGAAAGACACAGATAGTGAAGATGACAAACATTCCTGAGGAGAGAACTGAAACACCTCACTGGTGAGACTCTCTCTGTGAGAACTAAGGAACATAAGAACATAAGACAAGCCAATGCTGGATCAGGCCAATGGCCCATCTAGTCCAACACTCTATCACACAGTGGCCAAAAATACCAGGTGCCATCAGGAGGTCCAGCAGTGGGGCCAGGACACTAGAAGCCCTCCCACTGTTGCCCCCCTCCCAAGCACCAAGAATACAGAGCATCACTTGCCCCAGCCTGAGAGTTCCTATCTATACCTTGTGGCTAATACCCACTGATGGACTTCTGCTCTGTATGCTTATCTAATACCCTCTTGAAGCTCTCCATGCTTGTAGCCACCACCATCTCCTGTGGCAGTGAATTCCATGTGTTAATCACACTTTGGGTGAAGAAGTGCTTCCTTATAATCATACATACTGCTTTACTCATACAGTTTCCTTAGGCAGGTCTTTTTTGTTTTCATTGTTGCTTGCACTATCTCTAGTACTATTGCATTGTTCATTGGATGTTTTATGGTTAGATATATTCCTTTGTTATTCTGTAATCCACCTTCAGTCTAAGTGAGAAAGGCAGGTTATCAATAAAATAAATGAAATAAAATAAATATTGATCACTTCATAAAATATGGGGCGGGGAATCATTCAGAACACAATCCACATGTTGAACTTAACCCTTGGAGTTAAATTTAAAGCATTCTGTGGAAATTTGTTCTGAGAGCCAATGCAATGTAATGTTTACCTGGGATGTGCACTGAGGGAAAAAAAAAATGTTACAGTTTTGGATCCAGGCTCAATGGTGGTGGGCATTTACCATGATAGCTTCATTTTGGGTAGATGTTACCACTTCAGGTTAGATATCCATGCCATGTTTTCAAATTCCAGATTATTGGGAACCCCCCCCCCAATAGACAGCCAATTTAAGGAGCTGGAGAGGCAGCCACTGATGATAATACTGCTTAGTTTCCTCTGAACACAGTCCTCCCTATGTTCTCAAGACCCCCTGACTTTCAAGCAGGTTCAGCAAAAGGGCTTCATTTTACTGGACCTTAAAGTAAACAAGTTTCCACTCACATACACTACAGACATTAGTTGGTGTATATTTTCTGGATTGTGTGGCCGTGGCCTTGGAAGACCATGGCCACACAACCCAGAAAATATACACCAACTAATGAACTCTGGCCATGAAAGCCTTCGACAACATACTACAGCCAATGTTTGGTGTAGTGGTTAAGTGTGAGGACTCTAATCTGGGAGAACCGGGTTTGATTTCCCACTCCTCAACTTGCACCTGCTGATGTGACCTTGGGTCAGTCACAAGCTCTGGCACAGTTGTCCTTGAAAAAGAGCAGTTTCTGTCAGAGCTCTCTCAGCCCCACCCACCTCACAGGGTGTCTGTTGTGGGGAGGGGAAGGGAAAGGAGTTTGTAAGCCACTCTGAGACACCTTTGGGTATTGAAGGGCGGGGTATAAATCCAATCTCTTCTTCTTCTTCTTATTTTCAAGACAGACAGTTCTGGGCTAGCAGTCATTGATGATACCACCACCAAATTAGTTGTTAATGCAGTCCTTCCTCTTCTCTCAAGGCCATCCAAATGTCAAACACATTCAACAAAGGGGCAGGCCCATAGCCAGGATTTTTTTTTAATTTGGGGGTATTGAAATAATTCAGGCACGCCACACAGACACCCCCTCGGGAGCACCAAAAATAAAATTAAAAATGGAAGCTGGGGGGGCCTGGGCAGGGTGGGAATTTGGGGGGGGCAGCCGCCGAAATGCCCCACTGTAGCTATGGGCCTGAAAAGGGGCTAAATTTTACTGGATCCCAAAGTATGCAAATTTCTGCACACATACACTGCAGACAAAATGAATGACAAAAGTAGATGACAGTCCCTTGGACTGGAATTTGTGCTCTCACCACAGGTAAGTCCCCCCCAGTAATCCTAGTTCCCAGGGACCAACATACTACTCTGAGAGATGTCATTCAAGTCCTAGATAAGTTTATCAGGTCCCAGAGACAATTATTCCACTCTGGGGGCTGTCAATGCAGGCCCAAAGCAGATTTCTCTAAATCCCTGACTTTCATTGTAACTTTTTGTGTCCTGTAATGTATTTCAATGGAACCCATGCAAGTCAATTGGCATTTCAGATGCCCATTGTATTCAGTGAGTCTTCAGGTATATCCCTTTGTTCCCAGTTGGCATTCTTTTTTGTCCATTTCCTGTTGTTTTCAATGGACAGTGAATTCCAGGGTCTGGGGCAGCAGTCACTGACCATAATATCACAAAATTTGCCCATTTATTTATTTACTGCCTTACTTATTTATTACATTTTTATACCACATCTTTGCCTGTTAAGTCTTGGAGCCATTTACAATAAAACATTCAACAATAAAATACATCTGCACATTAAAATAGCCTTGACCAAAAAAATACAACTACAGTAAAACTTCATAAAACATCAGTAATGTTAGAACAGATCCCCAAGAAATAATCCAGTCAACAATCACCAGCTATAGGCAATGGACAATTCCACACATTTAGCCAATGACCTGATGAAACAAAGTGGCCTTACTTGCCCTGTGGAATGCAAGGAGATCTCACAGAGTGAAGGCCTCATCAGGAATCTGGTGCCAAAGGGCAGGATTAACAACTGAGAATGTTATGCCATTAATGGTATTTGAATTTGAAATTTGAATAACTGAGAAGGCCTGGCCCTGGTGGAAGATAAATGGGTAATCTGGGGGCAAGGCACCTGCAAGAAACCCTGAGATGCTGACTAAAGGGGGTAGGGTGGGTTTAACCAGGATAGGCAATCTGCAGGTGTGAAGTCCCCAGACAATTAAGGGATTTATAGGTTAAAACCAACACCTTGAATTGGCAAATGAAACTAATTGGGAGCCAGTGCAACTATAGGGGTGAAATGAGCTGACCATGGAGACCTGGTCAACAGCCTGACAGCTGTTTTCTGGACTACTTGAATTTTCCAAAGGGTCTTCAAGGGCAGCCCTATGTAGTCCAATCTGGAGGTCTCTGTTGTGTGGAAGATGGAGGCAAGGTCCAACTGGACAATTAGGGTGCAAATCAACAGGCTTGGCACAGATGGTACAATGCAATTTTTGCCATCGTGGACACATACTTGTCCAGAGGAAAGGAAGAGTCAAGCCACACTCTCAAGCTCTTTACAACATCCACTGCAGTCTGATGGACCCTGTAAAGCATTGGTAACGAAGGCCATTCCTGTGTCCCAGCCTTCCACAGCCACATGACTTCCATTTAAGATGGATTTAACTTCAGCCAAATCTTCCCCAACCATTCCATCAGGACATCTGTGTCAACATCTCACGCCCAATGGCCACCCTCTGTGAGTGTCCTGGGAGAAAAGAGAAGAACCACCACAAGGTAATGCCTCTTACTCCCAAGTAAGCAAGACGGTCAACAGGACCAAATGGTCAATTGTGTTGAAAGTTGCTGATGGATCCAAAAGAATCAGCAACACTGAACCACCCTTATCAAGATGGAGCCAGAGATTCGTCCACCAGAGTAATCAAGGGATTTTTAGTTCAAGAGCCTGGTCTGAAGCCACACTGGAAAGGATCAAGTGGCAATGTTTCACCCAGGAAAGCCTGGAGCTGCCCAGCCACTGCTATCTCAATTACCTTTCCCAGAAATGGAAGATTAGAGACTAGGTGGTAATTGGCTAGGTCCCTCTTATCTAAAGATTTTTTCAAGAGAGGTGTCACCACCACTTCTTTGACGGAGCTAGGGGAATAATCACATAATGCAGCCCCTCTCCTCTTGAGATCACTCACTGATCATTTGCTCACCAAATTATCACCCACCAACCAGAAGCAATGTTGGGCTACATACCTGAGAGTCAATAAACCTCCAGTTTGACCTGCTTTTCAGGAAGTGCAAAAACAGAAGGTGAAGGTGGGTGAATATGGGATTCAAGCACCCAGAGGCCGCAATGATATAGTTAGTATGCTTAAAGTTTCCTGATCATGCTGTATAGCCTGTAATAAACTGCTGATGAGAAATCTACTCTGTCATAAAAGAGGGAAATTAGAAGGGTAATGAAGATAGTGAGCTGAATCCTTCCAATTTATCCCATATGATTCATGCCTATAGGATTCACAAGAACAATGCTATAGCTTTTTTGGTAATCAAAGGTAGCTCTTTCTCCCTTTTTTTCACCAGCATAAAGACTAGTAGGATCCAACCCATTGTATTATATTAGTATACGTCCCGTTTTTTTAAAGGTCTCACTTTGTCTCAGTATATTTTGGGATTGAGTTCACTACATTCTCCCCTGCTTCTGTCTATATCCAACTATTCATTAACTGTAGATGGTTAATGTAAGCTCAGTGGTAAATACATTTGCTCAGTTCTTGATTGATGGAATGCTTATACTGTCATTTCCTAGATGTTCATTAATATTTCAAAGTGTTCCTATTTATTGTCCTAATAAAGTTGTAGCTCAGAGAGGAAATCATTCTTATTCACTGACATGTGAATCACCTAAAGAAAGATATGTAGAATTCCCATTAAATTTTATGTAAAGTGGAAGCCAGAGGCACATTTGAAATTTGTTGCCCAGAAGAGACAGTGATGAATTATGAGCAATGTCTAAAAAGTCTTGATAAAATTTGCAAAATTTGTCCATTAGATTTTGCACATTAATAGAGCCAAGTAATCAATTTCCTCCATGTCACATTTTTTGCAAGAGTCTAAAGTCATCTTTCAAAACTCATTATGTCTTTCTTTTAGGAACATCTGTCGTCAGCCTAATTCAAAAACAGGAAGCCATGCAGCTATATTTCTCTTTGCAGCAATGAGAGTAAAAAAGGCATCTAACAGCTAGTTAGTGGAGTCATCTGGCCTGGACTTTGGGGCAAGGGTTTGGGGCCATGACACACAATGTGAAGGGGGGGGCACAAAGCAGGCTTTAGCATTTGCATTACCATCTAAAGGAAGAATTCATTAGACCCTTAAGTTCAAGTGTAAAATTACCTAACTACAAAAACATAGTGGCAATTTTGCCTTTGCATTTGGCATCCCTGTAGGTTCCTGGTTTAGTTAATCCAGTATCTAGAAAGTAAATTTAGACATGTATGACTGGAAGGAGAGTTAAGGTGGATAAGAAGAAACACACTCATGAAAAGTTTTCACTACAGGGATCAAACACTGCAATTCAGTAAGTAACAGCCACAGACCAAGGTTGGTACGAGAATGGAGAATTCAGTGTGAAACACTGCCTTGAGAATAAGAACAGAGCTGAACATTTGTCCTCGGTGAGCTGAAAGGATATGAAAAGGACAAGACACAGGAAACACTCCTGAAATTTGTTTTTATATAATTTTAATTAAATGACATTAAGCACCCCTCATATATTGCCACAATAACCAGATTACTTAGGTTCATTTCATATGGGCTCTTTAAACCACCTTGGCTTCTGAAGGCACATGGATTTTTTAAAAAAGGAATCACATGCCTTTAGAATAAAATGCAAGACAAAAATTGAAACCAGTTTTAGAGAAACTGGATTAAGGAAGGGCCCTGATGTGGAAGACCCAGGCTAGCCTGATCTCATCAGATCTCAGAAGCTAGACATGCAAACAATGAAAAATCACCTCTGTATGTCTCTTGCCTTGAAACCCTATGGGTTGCCATAAGTCTCAACCCACATCTTGGGGGGGGGGGGTCATAGTTAAGCTCCATTTTCCAGAAGGATCCTAAATTCCACAAGAAAATGACCCAGCACCAATCAGCTTCCTCATTGCCAATTTCACTTCCTTGTTCCGTAGGCTGTAGATGAGTGGATTGAGTGTGAAGTCATCTTTCAAAACTCATTATGTCTTTCTTTTAGGAACATCTGTCAGCCTAATCCAAAAACAGGAAGCCATGCAGGTATATTTCTGTTTGCAGCAATGAGAGTAAAAAAGGCATCTGACAGCTAGTTAGTGGAGTCATCTGGCCTGGACTTTGGGGCAAGGGTTTGGGGCCATGACACACAATGTGAAGGGGGGGGCACAAAGCAGGCTTTAGCATTTGCATTACCATCTAAAGGAAGAATTCATTAGACCCTTAAGTTCAAGTGTAAAATTACCTAACTACAAAAACATAGTGGCAATTTTGCCTTTGCATTTGGCATCCCTGTAGGTTCCTGGCTTTGTTAATCCAGTATCTAGAAAGTAAATTTAGACATGTATGACTGGAAGGAGAGTTAAGTTGGATAAGAAGAAACACACTCATAAAAGTTTTCACTACAGGGGTCAAACACTGCAATTCAGTAAGTAACAGCAACAGACCAAGGTTGGTACGAGAACGGAGAATTCAGTGTGGAACACTGCCTTGGGAATAAGATCAGAGCCGAACATTTGTCCTCGGTGAGCTGAAAGGATATCAAAAGGACAAGACACAGGAAACACTCCTGAAATTTGTTTTTATATAATTTTAATTAAATGACTTTCAGCACCCCTCATATATTGCCACAATAACCAGATTACTTAGGTTCATTTCATATGGGCTCTTTAAACCACCTTGGCTTCTGAAGGCACATGGATTTTTTAAAAAAGGAATCACATGCCTTTAGAATAAAATGCAAGACAAAAATTGAAACCAGTTTTAGAGAAACTGGATTAAGGAAGGACCCTGATGTGGAAGACCCTGGCTAACCTGATCAGATCTCAGAAGCTAGACATGCAAACAATGAAAAACCACCTCTGTATGTCTCTTGCCTTGAAACCCTATGGGTTGCCATAAGTCTCAACCCACATCTTGGGGGGGGGTCATAGTTAAGCTCCATTTTCCAGAAGGATCCTAAATTCCACAAGAAAATGACCCAGCACCAATCAGCTTCCTCATTGCCAATTTCACTTCCTTGTTCCGTAGGCTGTAGATGAGTGGATTGAGTGTTGGTGTTAAGACACTGTATAGAACTCCCACAAGCTGGTCTCTTTCTAGTGAGTAGCTGGAGGTAGGACGGACATATGTAAATATGCTGGAGCCATAGAACAAAATCACAACTGTCAGGTGCGATATGCATGTAGAAATTGCTTTATGACTCAGCCCTTTCTGTTGGTTACTCAGAATGGCATGAACGATAAAAGCATATGAGACTAGAGTAAAGAAAAAAGGGCTAAGCCCTACAAAGACACCCACTGTGAGAAGGGCAACTTCATTGACTGATGTGTCTGAACATGAGATACTCAGCAACGGAGGGATGTCACAGAAAAAATGGTTAATCCTATTAGATTGGCAGAAAAACAGGTGGAATGTGAGTGCTGTGTGGAGAGAAGCATTGAGAAACCCACAAGTCCAGGATATCACAGCCAGCTGCAAGCAAATCCATTTATTCATGAGGCTGGTGTAAGCTAGTGGGCGACATATGGCAAAGTAACGGTCCAAAGCCATAGAGGCCAGAAGGAATCCCTCTGTGCCTACTAAGGTGATGAGGAAATACATCTGTGCTGCACAACCCAGGAAGGAAATGCTTGGAGATTCAGTCCAAAGATCTGCTAGCATTTTGGGTACAGTCACAGAAATGTAACAGATATCTAAGAAAGAGAGGTTGCCAAGAAAGAAATACATAGAGGTGTGAAGAGTCTGATTTAAGAGAACCACAGTGATTATAAACAAGTTCCCCAAGAAACAAATAGTATACAGTATGAAAAAGAAAACAAAGAGGAAAGTCTTTCCTTGCTTGATATTGATAGATCCCAGCAGGATGAACTCTGTGAAAGATGTCTGATTCTCAGAGGAGAGCAAGGTCATGATGTCAAATCTGAATAATGCAAATATAAAAGACAATATTTAAGACATTTTTAGCATTATGGAACTTGTGTCCTTGAGGAATAATTCTGCTATATGGTTGTAGCTGAAGACTTGATGAGCAGTACAGGAACTATGCATTGATTTCCAAAGAATGACTGTTTTGGTGCTGCAGCTAACCCTCCACATTACCCCATTTCCTTATGTATGAAAACTTTCTCCCTTCATTTCCATACACCAGCGATTCTCAGAGTCCCTCCACAACATGATGGTCTTTGCCATCTAATAATGACACCTTACCAATGTCCCCATTCCTTGAACTTTCTTCCAGACTTAGAAATCTTTTTAAAGACTTTTCTCCATTTTCATTTTAAGAATTGTACTTATGTCTTCAGCTTTACCTTTATTAAGGGACTATAACCATGGGATGAGAACTGGTCAATAACAAGTTCAAATTTCCATATGTTTTGAATTTACAAGGTGGCATTAAACAATCAAATACCTCTCCTCCACCTCCCCCATCTACAAGGCAGTAGCAGTAATAACAACCTAAGTTTAGAGATTGTTTTAAGCATACATGATGAAGTGTGCTATATGCTTTGCATGCTTAAAAACTACCATGCAAATTTCTCCTTCTTCTTTTTCTGGAATATATATAACCATATTTCATGCAAGGGTCTCACTAATCACTTGGTAGGCCTTATGTATCCTGTGACAAAATGGATTGCACGGGTACTCTCTTCTGTTACAGAAAATGTGGTATTTACCAGGTTGGTCCAGGTCCCAGGTTCTGCTACACCCTAATGAGGATTCCACCTCTCCAGTTTTCTTTCACCATCTCTTTGATGAAAAAAAAAACATATTTTAAAGATCTACCACCACATTGCAGACTTATGAAGAAGTGCCACTGTAGTCCCTCTGGAAATTAAACACTCTTATTTTTTTGTCTCTTCAATGGCTCTTCTGCAAACTAGGAACTCCAGGCTTTTCCTGCTCAGCAGCTCAAACGTATCCTGGTTCCAATGGAAGCCTTTGGGAATCTTTCCTATTGCAGTAATGTAAATACAAGAATGAGACTGCATTTTTCTTTCTTTCTTGGTTTAGCTGACAAATTAATCTTTATTTGTTTGCTGATAGACCACCATAACTCTGATGCATAAAAAAGCCCTGCTAATTGAACTCATTGATTACAAAGAAAGGAAAAACACAATAGCTGAGCAAGGATTATTAGGGATGGGCACAAACCAAACCAGAAAGCAAAATTCATGATGAATTTTGATCTGCTTGTGGTTCCCAACAGATGTGCATGACAGACCCACCATTATGAACTTCCATGACCTTTCAGACCAGGTTCAAGCTGTTTGTGGTTCATGCATGGGGAAGAAAGCCATGGTTTAAAGGGACACAACTATATGATAATGAAATGCATATAGCCAGAATAAACTTTAAACGATTGCATTTTTATTTCAACATTTTATGCCGATTCTCTCCATTTTTCTTCTCTCTCTTCCAGTGATTCCTATTCTTCCTCCAATTAAGAACTTATCAGATCACTCCCTTTCTACATATAGACTATTACTAGCCTCTAGTAGATTGCTGTTAGTTACTCACTCATAGACCCCAGATAGATCAAGATGGGTAGCCGTGTTAGTCTGTCTGTAGCAATAGAAGAGAGCAAGAGTCCAGTAGCACCTTAAAGACTAACAAAACTTGTGGTAGGGTATGATATCAGATATCCGAAGAAGTGAGCAGTGACTCACGAGCGCTCATACCATACCACAAATTTTGTTAGTCTTTGAGGTGATTCTGGGCTTTTACTGTTTTCTATTGTCATAGGTCCCAAGCTCACAGGAAAGAATGCTTTGGTTCTGCTGGCTACTCTACATTAACATATGATGGTATCTGAAGAAGTAAGCCTTGACTCATGAAAGCTTATACCATGGAAAAAATTGTTGGTCCTTTTATGTTCTAGTGGACTTGATTTTTTGTTCTAACATATGAATGTTCAAACATATCCTGGTAACAAGGCAGCCAGAATGTTAGTTAGGAAAAAAATGTACCCTGTTGCCTATCTGTGAAGGTAGTCTTAGATTCCTGTAGGTTACTATTTATCTTCTAAACTGTAGATCCAACACAGATACCTATGGTTGAGGGGTCATTTTACCATAGCACCCTTCCTGAACAAAGCATTTATGGGTACCAGATATCTATATAATGATATGGCTGGATACTGATCTTTTCCATCTTTCAAATATAAAGAAACAGGTTCTTACTTAGGGAAGATGACTGAATTCTGACTTCATGTGTTTGTCACAGTTCAAAAGACAATGCCTGCCCAATACAAATTATGCTTTATTATGAACTATACATTTGTGCAAGTCATAATTGGTCTCTTGGTGAAGTGTATGTACATAATCCCCAAATGAATAATTATTCTAAGGGTACCATGGTCCCTGGAGAAATTGTCATTATCTTTTGGGATGTGATAGTTGGGCTTGTCATAGGTGAAGTATAACTATAAAGGGACATTGGACCCCAGTTCCCTTGAGGGGTCTTTCAGGCTCATGAGTTAGTTATAGGTGTAGCAGATAAGAAAGTCCATGTTTTACATATATCTCGATATAGTCAAAATGCATATTCAGTTTAAATGCAAATAAAAATCTGCTATTAAATGTAGATTATCTAGTGTTACATAAGTTTAGCCCTATATAGTGCCCTAGTGCTTGTGTTTTGCACAACAGGGAGGAATAAAAAAGGGCAGGCATGTTCACCCCTTGGTGGCCTGTACATATTTTAATGGTCAAAAGAGTTAAAGCTCTAAGAGAGCTGTGCTCAGATCCTCTCAATGCTTTTATAATGATAACAAAAGGCATCAGGATGCCCTAGTCTATCTAGAGGGAGACAAGGGTTTAGCTTTTCTTCTTCTGTGAAGTTTTGCTAATTATTTTTTGTTCCTTCAGCACTCTCTTCCCAATCAGCCCTGACTTCATTTTAAATATAAATGTTTTCCCCTTTGGTTCTTTTTATCTTTGTCTTGATTGAGCACCCCTTTTTCTTTCTTCTTTGTTTCTCTGTCAGTCCCATTCAGGTGTTTAAATGTATATGCTGACCCAGCCTAGGAAACTGAGGGTCCAACTAAAACCCTCCATTTGTCTTTATCTGATAATGGCACACAAGAGGCTAGCGGTAATTCAAAACTAGCAAACTGCTTTATTTCACTTTTGAGGGGAAATGGTCAGATAGGAATCAGGTTTAGGGCTTCCAAAGGTGAACAGGCAACAGGAATGACATAACTTTGTATTTGTTTGTCAGAAATTGGATTTATACCCCACCCTTCACTACCCGAAGGAGTCTCAGAGCAGCTTACAATCCCTTTCTCTTCCCCTCCCCACAATAGACACCCTGTGAGGTAGGTGGGGCTGAGAGAGCTTTTTGAGAATTGCCCTTGCAAGAACAGCTCTGAAAGAACTTATGACTGACCCAAGGTCACACCAGTAGCTGCATGTGGAGCAGTGGTTCTCCCAGATCAGAGTCCACACTCCTAACCACTGCACCAGACTGGCTATCCACACCAAGCTAGTTTGATCACTATTCACTTTCTTTCTTAATTTAAATAGCATTTGTAATTTCATTACTGTGAAGTGTGATTAGACTTCGTTTCATTAGGAGCTGGAGACTAAGAGGTAGTTATACAAAATAACCCCACAAAGAAATAGTAGGGTTGGGGGAGGGATTTTGTTGCTGACCAGCATTTGGCTTGATGCACTAATCTGGTCCATGCAAGTATTGAACCAGTAGAACCAAACATCCCAATCTTTCTCAGTTTTAGTTTTGTTCCCCATTTCCTGGTTTGTCTTCCCAAGTGATCATTTGCAGTACTAGTAAATGGACAGAGTTCAATTGGCATATTTTTACAGCATGTTTAAAAATAACACATCTATCATGTCTCACTTCAAGCCTTGCTTTGGGCAGCTCTGTGGTGTGTCATCAGTCCAAACACAGGGAGCTGCTAAGAAACAACACTAACACAAGAGAGAATGGCTGGTTGTAGGAGCTGCCATAGGCAACAGGGCAAAAGTTCCCAAGTCCACAGGTACCTCTTGATACCTCAGATACCAATGGATGAGGACACGGAGACCAGGAAGGCTTACTTGGCCCTGCTGATGCACAATATGCACCACTCAAAAACTAGATTGTTAGCATGCAGATCTTTGAGTTGTGGACCCAGGGGAAAAAGACAGTGAAGGAAGGAGATCACCATTTCAGCTCTCTGGATATCTTTAGGCTATTGTTGAGATGGGAGAGGGGGCCAAGACACCAAACCAAGAGACATTTGGGGGGTGACTTGACTATGTTTCCTGGAGGCTACATGCATTCACTTTTTGAAGGCCCCATAAATCCTTCAAAGAGTGTCATGAAAAGGAGCAATTAATAGTTAAGTGTAACTTATACTCTTTTTTATCATTCCTCTGATCAAGATGTGACAATGCAGTTTTCCAAGGCAAAACTACAGCAAGAAACTACAAATATCGGAAAGAAAGCATCAGAAATGATGGGCTGCTTCTCAAAAACAGTGGATGAAGAAGAATCCTGCTTCACTACCATCCCCATTTTTCAACTGTTCACGAAGCTGAAGTCTGTGCACAGAAAATCCTTGCAATAGTTTTCTTAAAGGCTCCCTTGACTTCTTTGTTCCTTAAGCTGTATATTATGGGGTTTAGAACGGGAGTAACCACAGTGTACATCAGAGCAATCATTTTGTCACTCCCTGGAGTATTGCTAGATTTAGGTCTCAAGTACGTGAACAGGGCTGTCCCATAGAATAATGTCACCACCATTAGGTGTGAGGAACAAGTAGAGAAGGCCTTCTTCCTCCCTTCTGCTGAGGGAAGCTTAAGGATAGTATAGCCAATTCGGATATAGGAAAGGATTATCAGCACAAATGGCCCCATAATGAAAAGCACTGAAACTGCCAACACCACAATTTCATTTTTAAAGGTGTC